CCCCCACCCCCCCCACACACTTCTGTGTTTTGAGATTGAAGGTAAACCAATCAAGTGGTGAATTGATTTGTAACGGTGGTGGTTGATTTGTTGACGTTTTCAGCAATACAAGGCTTTCTCTTTACAGATATGCAATTAGAGGTGACCTGTTTTTGATTCACGGCTTTAAATATAACTCTCAACACTTCTGTGATCCCGTGAAAGAGGATAATGACGCTCGACGACAACAAAGCCGGTGTTTATCACTTCAAAGCACTGTTTCAAAGCTGCATATCACTCTGACCTTTCTCTACATGAATAGCGAGTCTTTAATGCAAGGTGATACATGCAGAAGATGATGAGGAAGGATGGAAGCTCCTCCGCAGGCTCCCTCTTTTTCTCGTTGCTAAGTGCATCAGCCTGATTCTTCCCACCACTGGGCGCCATGGTAACCTTATCTGCGAGTTAACTGAGCTACAGATAGAAACTGTCACTGCTGGTTTTCATCCGTCTCCCAGACTATTACACCCTTTGTCCCAGCAGCTGAAAAAGACATTTAACATATCCATATTTCTAACACCTCGGGGAGGTTGGAAAAGTTAACACGCCTCCACTTTATCAAGTTGTTACTTCTTTATTCTGGTGCAAAGTCACGCTCGCTGCAGGCTTTATAAAGTGTTTAAGAGACAAACACCCACTGAATAAGTCGGTCAAGTTAACAATGGTTCAGGAGCAATTATGCTTTTTTACTGTCAGTTTATTTGTTTCTGTTAAAATGGCGCCCTCTGCTGTTCCCAGGAAATCAATAATTACTGCTGAGGTGGATCGACACGTTCTTAAGACATGAATAATAAAGTACAATAGAAAATAAGAGGATAAAGTCCAACTGTGTCTACATGAGCTCATGTGGATAAAATAAGTACTTTTCAAGTCATAAAAATGTATTGTTTCCTCTAATTCTACTGCAAAAAGGTCAAACTACACAAGGTAATTCATGCATTTTTAAAGGACACTGAAGAAGCTAAATAATTGTATTACGGGTAGAATTTGTCTTCTGAATACCCTGTAATCAGTATACGAATTAGCTTCTAAAACGGTGGCTCTATAAGGCAGAGTTATATTAGTACCAAGAGTATTTCTGGCTCGACAGTAAGTTGCATTTACTCTGCATATTTGGTGTAAATTACCCCCTGATTAGTCTGTTAGAATGAAACCAGAAGGCCTGCGGTCTGTATCTGGAGGCCTTTAGCAGGGGTCATCGGGATAATTTCCTAATTATTGCTGTAATCGCTTCACCCTGTCTGACACACTGTGAGTCATGAGGGGAGTGCCCACTAGGGGGCGACATCACACAGTGTAACTCCATCTGAGTGGCATGAACTCAATGCATAATAGTTTTGAGTCAGAAATTAAGGTAGGAATTGAGCCAGAACTGATTTAATTGAGGAAGGGTTTAAAGGTTAGATGCTTTCTGTTTTAATTCAGAGGAATAGTTTGGCTCATGTGGGGAAGTTGAAAGAATTCCTGGGAGTAAATCTACCCTGAGGCCGGGCTATCTACAAAAAGGGCTCAGTAATGACTGCCGTACACCTAAGGGACCATATGGTTCAGTTTTCCCGCCATCTTCCTCTTGTCAGCTCTCAAAGCCGGCAGATCTGACCCTGGGCCAGCCTTTATCATCCGTCTGGTGATCAGAGGAGGGCTGCGCACAGATTTTTGGCAGCACTTTCTGTAGCTGAGTGCGATCCAGGCTCTTTTTCAGCTCCAGGCTGCTGCCATGTCTGTGGACAAACCTCACCATAGGAGGCATGGCTGTGCCAAACAGCTCTGTTAAGGCCATCATGTTTGCATGTCACTGCCCAGACACCGAAAACATGCTTGGAAAAGGTGAAAAATTATGGCTGGGAGAAACACACTTAATCTTCTGAGGTGATCTTTTGTAGAGAAGGCAATACATCAGGCATAATTAAGCTATCTCAACATGTTCTTAATGTTTATTTAGTTAAAATGTATACATACGGTTTTAACATTTTGAACAAGACTTGGTAGCATGGTGCCTCAGTGTTTACATAGGACCTTCTTCTATTAGTATCAACATCTTGGAAGTCCCCTGTGACAGGGTGTTTCTTTGGGATAGGCTACAATGCATGCTGGGATAGGCTGCACCCCCCCTGCCTGACCCATAACAGTACAAAGTGAGTATGAAGCATGTGTTCACATCCTTTTTGGCTTGTGACAAGAACTGATACTGTCATTTATATGATCAGTTTTTATAGTAAATTAATCAAAAACAGAAGATTAGTTTTGATGAGTCCCAAAGACGCATATAATAATAATAATAATAATAATAATACATGGGACTTTTATAGCGCTTTTCATGAAACTCAAAGACGCTTTGACAGAGAATTAAGAAAAGACAACAAAAGAAAGACAAAGAAATACAAAAAGAGATAAACAAAACAGAAAATACGGGGGGAGGGGGGTGGTCAGTGGTTGAATGCAGTGTTGAACAGGTGGGTTTTGAGTGATGTTTTGAATGCTGTGAGGGAGGAAGAATCTCTGATGGATTGGGGTAGTGAGTTCCAGAGGGTGGGTGCAGCAACGGAGAAGGCTCTGTCGCCCCAAGACTTGAGGTTGGTCCGAGTGGGGAGGGACAGGAGGTTGGCAGTGGCAGAGCGGAGGGAGCGAGTGGGAGTGTGTCTGTGGAGGAGGTCAGTCAGGTAGGATGGGGCCAGGTTATGGAGGGCTTTGTACGTCATCAGGAGGATCTTGTACTGAATTCTCTGGGGGATGGGGAGCCAGTGGAGCTTGATGAGGACGGGTGTAATGTGTTCACGGATTCGGGTGTGGGTGAGTAGACGGGCGGCGGAGATCTGGATATATTGAAGTTTGTTGAGGATTTTTGCAGGTGAACCATAGAGGAGGCTGTTGCAATAGTCCAGACGGGAGGTGATGAAGGCGTGGATGAGGGTTTCGGCAGCAGTGGGAGAGAGGGATGGACGTAGACGGGCGATGTTTTTGAGGTGGAAGAAGGCTGTCTTTGTGATCTGTTTGATGTATCTGTTGTAGGAGAGGGTTTGGTCAAATATGATGCCTAGGTTCCGGATGTGAGGGGAGGTTTGAACTGGGAAGCCGTCTATGTTGAGGGTGAAGTTATGGATAGGTGTGGTGAGCTTTTTTTGTCCAATTATTATTATTTCAGATTTATCGCAGTTGAGTTTCAGGAAGTTAAGTTGGAGCCAGGATTTTATTTCAGTGATGCAGTTTGTCAGGATGGAGTGGGTAGCAGTGGAGATGGACTTGGTGGAGATGAGAAGCTGGATGTCGTCGGCAAAGCAGTGGAATTGAAGTCCATGACGGCGGATTATGTGACCAAGGGGAAGCAGGTAGAGGATGAAGAGGAGGGGGCCGAGAACTGAGCCTTGAGGGACACCTTGGGGGAGAGGAGCGGTGAGGGATTTGCAGTTATTGATGTAGATGAACTGGTTTCTGTCAGAGAGGTATGAAGTGAACCAAGAGAGGGCAGTGCCGGTGATGTTGAAGGTGGTTTCAAGACGGGTGAGGAGGATGGAGTGATTGATGGTGTCGAAGGCAGCGCTGAGGTCAAGGAGGATGAGGATGTTGAGGTTACCAGCATCGGAGGAGAGGAGAAGGTCATTTGTCATTTTGAGGAGTGCTGTTTCGGTACTGTGGTTTGAGCGGAATCCGGATTGAAAAGTTTCATAGAGGTTATTAGCAGAGAGATGATGCTTAAGTTGTGACGCTACAGCGCGTTCCAGAACTTTTGACAGAAAGGGTAGGTTCGAGATTAACATATTATTGATTTTTAACTATTTTGTGACATTTAATCGCAGTTGTACCCTTTTTAATAAGTACAAATGTTAACTTGTGACCTGTGTTAAGATTTACATATTAATGAGCACCTGAGGCATAATGTGATTTTGTAAATCTGAGGAAAACTATTTCAGAGGAAAATTGCAATTGTAAATTAACTTTTCGAAAATAATGGATTTTAAAAATATATTATGGGGTAGAGGATGGATGGATGAATACATTCATGGCTTTAAAGTAGAGCTGCAACAATCGACATACTAATGAATATGTATAAATAGTTCTTGGTTCAAAACTGGCAGTAAAAAAGGAAGTTTTACGCTTCTCAATACATAATAATAATAATAATAACATATTATGAATTCTGGGTTTTGGACTGACAAATCATGACATGTAAAGACATTACCTTGGAGGTGATTTTCATTCTTTTTTTAAATTGTTTAGATCAAACAATCAATTTATCTATGAAATGATTTGCAGCCAATTAATTATAAAAATAATCACTGTTGCATTCAATTTCAACTGTACACCAATTAATCATAATGTGTCACCTAGCAGCTCTGCACGGCAGCATCAATGCATCACATCCTGTGGAAACCCCTGTGATTAATATACCATCAAGTATATCTAATTCTAATCAAAGTCTCTCCTTATTTGCCTAAAACATGTCTAAATGATGTCTTTAAGCATCAGAGAACCCGTTGACAGTCGTTGAACAGTTATTGAAGCTGTTTCGTGTTCACCTTGGTGGATTCTGTTGTGCCGCAGTGGTTCTGCTGAGGGTCTGTGTAAGGTCAGCTGTTGGAGCTCACAGGCTTTGTTTACATCTGCGCCGAACAGCAGTGAATCACAGTCGGTGGAGTTGGGAGCGTCTATGTGTTGAAGTGCTGTGTTTGAGTCACTCGGGCCTCTGTGTTTAGAGTCTGTGGGACCACAGGGTTCACATGAGAAGTGGGGAGTTTATCAGTGACTGTAATGCCAACATCCTGGAAACATTGGGGTTTCAGCCCCATGAGTACACTTTCATGAGAAGAGGACGATTATTTTTTGCCCATCACCCTCTTAAAATGTGCTTTTATCTTTGGTTATTAAACAGTAAAAGCCTTTGATGAATACAGCTTGTTTGAAATGAAGCCCAAATTGTGAAGTTGTAATATACAACATGGGACAACTCATCCAAGTCCATTTATTAATATTTAATAATATCCATTCAGTTCTCCCCCATGGTTGGCAAGTGAGTTCAGCAAGTTTGAGCCAAGACATTTATGTCATCCAGATTGTCTTGACAACAGCTGTCCAGATTATGCAACTGTCACATTACACAAACATATTCAACTCAAGCGTTCATTTGAGCTACAATGCATGGGCAGCCACGCGATGGGTGACACGTTTCTTAGAGCCGCTGAAATGGAAAACACTCACGCATCTGGTCATGATGCAGTCTAATTAGAAGACATGGTCCAAATGAGTCAAAGTCGCAAAGAGATGGGATATATTCTTATAAATATGCTTTTAACCATAAATGGGTGCAGTGATCAATATTAAGTTACAAAAAATGAATCAAGTTTATAAGAAGTGAAACACTGAAAATAATCTCCCACATCTGTAGCCAAGCTCTGTTCTTTATTTCGATTTTTAGCTCAGTTTTGGTTTGTAAACCTTAAAACATCTGCTCCTATAAACTGGAGCTTGCAGCTGTTTTAATAAAAAAGATATGTGGGCTATGAGCCAAGCACGATAACATGATGGCAAAAACAAACTTTTCAAAAAACTTGTAATGGAGTGAATATTGAGCTTGGATTTATCAGAACACAAAAGAATTAAAGAAACAGTGTTTGTCGTGTCTTCTCGATGTGTAATTGAGTAACTGTAATCTATGTAATCCAAGTGGCCAAATCTATGAATGCCCCTTTCAGTGTTTTTGTCTTTGCACATTTTCAAATTAAATATTCAAATAGACATTGGCCGCCCATAAAGCATCAACTTATCTTCAATCTGTCTTTCCTTTCTCCCATGCACAGAGGGAAAAACAAAACCAAGCTCTGACACCAAATCAGCCACCGACAGAGCCGACGCTGCACAGACGGCTCCGGAGGTGATGGATGTGGAGGGGGTCCATCTGGAGGAGGGGACACTGGAAACATCCCAGGGAGAGGAGTCTGAGCTCAGCCTAAGCTTCCAGGGCTACGTGGCTGAGCTGCGGCAGTGCCAGAGCAAGCTGAGGAGCACCCAGATACCCCAGAGTGGCCGGAACCCACCAGAGGGCCAGGACTGCCAGACAGACCTTTACAAGGCCACAATCGTCTAAAGGGAAACCCCACTGCTGCACTTTTTAAGCCTAAGGCACTGTCAAACGATGGGCTGCATGTACACTCCAAAAAAAAGTCAATATTATGGTGATAGATATTGTATATTTGTTACGAATTCTGGCGTATTCTTGTCGATTTTTAGTACTGGTTGTAATTTTTAGGCAGTGATGTTTTTGTTATGCTTTAGTTTAATAATGAAGTTCAAAATCATTCTATTGTGAGCCATGTTAGACTAAGGACAACAATGGAAGAAGCCTGAAATTAACTTAATGGTACCAGTTTCTAATAGGCATTTAGGATTGAAAGTTGTCATTATTGGGTTTATTATAAATGTAACTCTCTTATAAGCTATCAGTATGAATTGAACAGCTAAATTAAAATACCTTGATTATGCCATCAATTACATTTAAAGACACTCGCCGGTTAGGAAAATTGTGAGATGTAGATGAGAAGCTCTGAACAAATGTATTGAATGAACTCAAAAGTATAACCAAAATCTAAAATAATACCATTAATTAAGCTATTCATTGCAACTTAAAGTTTGAACAAAAAATCTTGACCTAATGTCAATTTACTAGCTTTTCTTCTGCTGAGGAAGGCTGTGAGATATAGTGGAAAGATAAAAAATATTCATCTAGTAAGAGCACCTTGGGCTAAAACATTTTTGTCAAACTACTGTTACCCTGTTAGAAAGTGGTACCAAATGTTCTGGCATCATATGCTAGATCGTACTTTGTTATAGGATCAAAAGGGAGGTAAATCACAATTTTTCTTGCATATTTAAGTTTTTTTGTATATATTTTCTTCTTATGTTTTACAGATAATACATGATGGTACCTTTGTTGCCTGTACTTCCTGCTTCTGTGGTTGTGTGAGGTTGTCCACATGTTGAATGATTAAAAAGCTTTGTTTGCTGTAATTCGAATCAAAAGTTCTCTTTTCGTTTGTAAGTGCATAATTTATAGGATTAATTCATTGTTTTATGTCAGAAAAGGAATCCTTTAACATCCTGTAATAACCCCCTAAACACCCTTGTGAAAAAATAGTTGAAATACTCCTCTGTTGTACTTTATTACCCCAAGTCTTACATAAAACAATCTCTGCCCTGAATTCTTCTTCTTCTCGTCATATTTGGCCAGCTTAATGTGTTTGCTAAGTTAGTGGGACTTGTAAATAATTAACGTTGGAGGTGTCTTAGTTGAACAATTTTACCTTCACCTGGGATTTTTTTTTTTTTTTTACCAATGCAAGGTGCTGTTCAATTGTCCAACCTCCTCTTTGTATTGTTAGCTCAGCATCTGGAAGGAGATCATTACAGCTGGGGAAAATTAGAGGTTAGATGATGGGAATGGGTAGTTTGTCTTGACACAGCATGTCACTGCTGGAATGCCGACAACACACAAGGTTGGTTGGGCTCTTCACTTTCATACTTGTCCTATTTCAAAGGGCCTGTAATTATTGAGTTCTAGATGAGAACTGTACTTTCTGCCTTATCCTTGATTCACCTTACATTTGGCTTATCTGATTTTAAAAACAAGATATAACCCAATGGCCCATCTGTGAATGTTTTTATGCCTAGACTGCTTCCACATTGTGCTCTTTTGTTGTGACATCAGCTAGCACTACTTTTCCCAGGGTAACATACTGTCTGTGACAAGTAGGTATCGGCAGTTAAACAGCACTGTTTGTTAGCACACCAAATGCCAGCTTTCCTCTTTAGCTTAGCGTTATTTAAGCTAACTTCTAAGCATGCTTAAACATCGGCATGACTCATGGTACTTGACTTAATTTCCTCTGCAATTAATTATAAAATGATCACGACAGCCTTGAACTTCCAAGTCAAACTTTGTTCAACCCATTTACTTTAATTCGTTTAGAATACATTATGTGGGACCCGTAAGGTTAGCATTTCTGTTTGGGACACGCGTTAGCTAAAGTTAACTGGGCTAAAGACACGAGCTAACTAATGAATTTGATGTCAGAATTAAAATTGAACTTAGTCGTGGTTTCTCCTGTAAGTGTTCATTTAAAAAGGGGTTGTTATAATACTGTATGTCAATTGGTTTAATTATATTACTGAGGCTACATCACGTTACTTAACAGTAGAGTTAGCCTAATATGTTTTAACTAGACCTCAACATGCATTAATCCCATTAGTTTAGTTAACCTGCAATTTACTGCTGGTGATAAACTTACAAAGACATGTCAAAAGTTACTATTATATTATTCAGTCTTTATTAACTAAACAAGTTTACAAAATCCAGACACCACAGTTGACACATATCATATGAGGCATAAAGTTAAGTGACACTGCAGTACAAAAAAGTTACTTTAACACGGTGCCTGAGTCTGAAAAGTTGGGAGTTTGCAGCAGATAGTCCCCCCGCCTCTGCCTCTGGAAAGTTTTGGTCTGTGCTCTCTCCATGGATAACTAACAATGATAAACCGTGGGCGTCTGCAGAGAGGTGCAGAGGGAACACCAGTCGGGATATAGGATGCCTCGGAGATAGACGAGCCCAATGACGCAACGGGTTTACTCAATACATCTTGAAAGTGCGAGGGACAGGATAATACTTGCAGGGTTTCCCACGTCTCCTATGACCCAACGCAGGCTGATCACTTGGAAACTGACAGATATAACGTGACAGGCTCACAGATCCTCCTCGGACTTCTGGAAACAAGCTTCTCCGGATGGACCAACAAACTTTCATGATGGCATACTTTGTATTACTTTTTCTACCTTGTGTTTTCAGTTCAAGGGGGGTAAGTTTTAACCACCCTACCTACTTGTTTTAATCAATTTGGCGTGAAAAGTGAATTGCAATAACTTATTTTCACTTATTTCAGCGCATACTGTCTGCTCGGTATGAATCCATGACCTCACAAGTGCCATACAGCGGGGTCCGGAAAGGTAGGGTTTACCTAAGTCCTGGGTTTGATTTAGATGAGAAAAGAGGGATGGTGCACATTTAACTGGCAGTGAATGTCATATATTTTTAGCTTACAGATAAAGTTGTGGGTGCAACTTTAACTGTAATCCCTTCGGAGTTAGTGCTTGTATAGGTCTGTTACCTGTAGATTTAGGTATCTAGGGAGATGGATTTACTATTCAATGATCAGAGCTATTCAAAGTCAAAGGAGTCTTTGTGTTTGAGGTGCAGGGGGGGAATTGCATTTTTTTCCAGCCAGTTTCTGATTTCACTCGTTTGTGTTCTCTGAAAATCACTAACAAGCTGTGTTTTCTTTCACTGTTGCCAGTTCTAACAACAGACAACAAAGAATGTAAATTCCCATTTCGTCAGGGGGGAAGAATTCATCACCACTGCCTCACCATCCGGTCCTCCAAACCCTGGTGAGTTTTTATTTTTTCACAATCAACCACCTGTGTGTAATGGTAATAACTTACCACACACTTGCCTTAGACCACACGTGACAGGTAGAAGTGCTGCCTCGTCACATTTTGGTTTTGTGCTGACTCACACGCCTTGTATACTTCATCCTAACGCCGACCGCAGGTGTTACGTTTTAGGTGTTTGTATGAATTATCCTCAAGTTGGCATGACATTGAAATTAACAAAAACACTGGTTTTTTCCATCATGCAATGCGGTAATTGAAGTGATTTCCTGATGACACTAGTGCAGTGTGTAATTGGGGTGTGTAGTGGCTGCCAATTACAGTCACAGTAATGGGGGATTTACTGTGTCATAGGGGAACATAATGCCATTTTTTAATAAGCTAATTTGCTTTAATTAATTGCTCATTGCTGGATGGCCGTCTAATGATTTGTGTGCCCTGTCAGGAATATTATAATAGTTGTATTACACTTATTAAAGGTGACATTAGATAGAGTATAGAAAATCCTCTGTAAACTGTTGCTGTGGCTGTAGTTCATACATTCTCATCCTTCGGGTGAATAAACAGCTGTCACAGTTAAACCACATTTGTATTGTTTTAGATTGTGTTTTAGCAACATAATCTTCCTTTTTTATTAGATTTTTCTATTTTGGAAAACTTGCTGACAGGCTTTTCCAGTCTTCATTCTTTGGAATTGAGACAAGAAGGGTGGGTGCCAGCAAGTTGGAGCAACATGAATGCAATTATATATGGCCCAACATCCCGGTCCACCTATACTGCAATGTGACCCTGCATGTTTTTGCGATGCGTTCATGAGCTCAGCGTCAGGAGAGGTTTGTCATTATACTGCAGATTAACCGAGCGGTCCAGGACCAGGAGTATACCGATGTTGCTTTGATTAAAGAAGTGGATGATTGACAGAGTAAGAGAGTGTCAGTCGGTTGTGGTTTAATGAGGTTTTCTTTTTCTCACAGAATCAAAGTGGCATTCAAAAGTACCGCATTTCAGTTACAAAGAAATTGTTAGTGCGGCTTGTTAGTACTTGTTGCTTGTAAGACGTCGTTTAAGGGTGAATAAAAGACTCTCTCGATATAAGTGGGTTTATGTCATAAAAGCAGTTAATGCTTATTGTGAAACTGTTAATGGAAAAAATAAGCAGGTAGTTGTGTCTCTATTTGAATGCCAAGAACAACACTAAGCGTCAACTTTTTGAGGCAGAACTAGAGCTAAATGCTAAAATCAGCAAGCTAACATACTCATTTAAAAAAATGTGCTTATGTTTAGGTAATGTTAAGCATATTCACCAGCTTTCTAACTAGCACTAAACATAAAGTGCATTTGAGGATAATGGGAGTGTACTTAGTTTTGCACAATTTATTATTAAAAAAAAAGTATTGGACGCACTGAAGAGGATCATCAAGAGCTCAGTAAGTAAGAATTCATCTTGAAGGAGGGTTAATGTCTCTATCAAATTACATGTCAACCAATCCTATAGCTGTTAAGGCATTCCCTTTCCATGAATTTCTCTTAAAAAAGCCAAATTAATCTGTCAAAATGAGTTTTCAATCTATAAAGCAATATTATGAATTGGCCCAGAAATTGCTACAAAGAAAGAATTATGAATGTATATTAGGGTTGCACCAAAGTGAAATTCTGGGCGGTTATGACTGAAGAATTGTTAACAGATTGCAGTAACTGATGTATTCAGTTTTTGTTATGGATACTGTTTTTGTGGTTATATATATAAAAAAAAATAATTGAACTGATCGGAAATTGTTAAGTTCTTTGTTGCACTCATCTTGCAATAAGCACAAACTGAATCTTACAAACTTATGAAACAGCCTCTTAAGTAATCTTTTTATTTTATTAATATTTATAAAGTGTGTTCAACCTGCTATACAGCGACCTTTACCTTTAGCATACTGTACTTAATATTAAAGATACTGTGAGCATCTCTACCTTGTGGCCGCTCTATCTCTCATGTGGTTTGAATATCAACATGTTGTCTACTGATGTTTTGCAGATAGATCAGTGCAACTGCATGATTTACTCTAGGGATGCTCCGATCGATCGATATCGGCCGATCGATATCGGCCGATCGATCGGTGCTCTCTAAAAATGCTGATCGCATGACATAAAATACATGACACTTTTCTCTGTGTGCGGCAAAATAAGCTCGCCAAAATGGCTTCACCGGTCTGGCAGTATTTTAGGGTGTCCGAAAAAGACAATAAAAAAGGGACTCATCTAGAGACTCTGCACCGTGCTCTGATGCTGTTGCTTTCTGCTTTATGAACGTGGACAACAGAAAAAAAAATATTCTTCATGACCAAAGTTGGAATTGAAATAAAAAAGAAAAGTGAAATTTATGCTCGTCACCCTCTGAGGGTGACGAGCATAAATTTCACTTTTCTTTTTTATTTCAATTCCAACTTTGGTCATGAAGAATATTTTTTTTTCTGTTGTCCACGTTCATAAAGCAGNACACACACACACACACACACACACACACACACACACACACACACACACACACACGCAGAAACATGCAAGACAAATATGTGTCAATCATGTCTTGATTTCCCAATGAAGTATGTCAGCGACATGAATACAGTTAGACAATGACAGGTTACTTTCTTTCACTCTCAAATTAGTCAGAACACGTCTTAAAAAAAAAATCAGTTTCAGCAGCTCGCTCTTGTTTCCACCTGCCACCATTAATCAAACCATTATCACACACACATGAATGAACAAGAATGCACTGTGTGAACATGAACACGTGACTGATACACTTAGAGAGAATGACTTCCTGCTACTACAGGTCTGCTTTCACTCACCGACGCTGCAGTGGGGGCCACCGTAGCCCCACCTGCAGTTACACACCTCCTTTCGGGTGGCTGTGATCCGTCGACACGTCCCGTCGTTCTGACAAGGGTTTGAACGGCACACTGAACACACAAAGGCAAAACAGGGCACATCATATTCAGCGTTCATACTGTTTATTTCCACAAAATGTATGTCTGTACTATGCGTGTTCAACGATAAGAGATTGTTTGGTCCATTTAGGGATGTGGAAACAAGCCATTAACAAAACACTGACATATCATATATGGCGTTTGTTGACAGGCAGCTTATTTACACATGTAGCAGATACAAAGCCACATCATCAATCACTTAATAATTTGCTTTTGGGCACCTCATCAAAGCTCAATATTTCCTCTCTTTTAGCTCCTATTTTGGTCTCTACCACGCTTTTAGCCGTAACAAGCAGCTGTTTGTTTTTATAGAACAAAGTGTTGATAAATGACACTATTTACATAGCAACAAACACCAGATAGACAAAGTTAGCAACCAGCTCGTCAACATAGCAGAGCATTTAGCAGCTAAAGGGACAAGAGATATTTCCCTTAATAGTTGGTCTGCTTGTTGTGTAAATATGAAAACAAATTCTAAAATGAGCTCCATGCAGCTTTGAAAGGTGACAATACTCTATGTTAATGTAATATCGTCAGCAAGCTGTGCTGGTCTTAAGAGACAAGAAAGTAATTGAATGCCGCTTAAATTAAATAAATGAACCTGAACCTCGTGACGCAACATCTGTATATCTCTGCACGAGAACTCAAAATAAACATAAGTGCAATTACATTCCAAAGCTGAATCTAAGGTCATGCAGGTGCATTCAGCTTAAAGGAGATCTTTTTTCTCCCAATGTAAGATAAGCCCCTACCATCACGACAAAAAGCGGTTTCGGCTCACGGAGCATGAAACCGACTCCCTGCTCCCTCTTTTATGCCGGGGAATCTGATTAATGCCCAAGAACATCCTCCCCATAGAGATGAAAGTACCTCATGGACCCGTGGGGTGTGTCCTAAAACACCATTCCTGAGTCACAGTGAGTCATATAATCTGTCTTTTCTTCCACGGCAAAGTTAGGCTTGTAACTATGGAGCCGTGATCAAAGAGAGAAAGCCTGTCCCCGGGCTGGGAGGAGACCTGACACTTGTATCTTTTGAGGTTTGATAAGTAAGAAAAAGCTTGTGAAAAAAAGGCATCTTTCCTTAGAGTGCACTATTCTCCATTTGTAGTTAGTTAATGTGTGTCTCCTGCAAATGTGGCTTATTCTTCTTCATGCAAGGTAAAGAAGGTTCACCTAACTGACAGTTTGTGGAAGTAGTGCATAGTGTTTAGGTTACGGTAAATACATCCTCATCTTGGGTTTCACTCATCGTCTCAACAAAAGCACAGGATTGAAGCAGCTGAAAACACGTCTTACTTGTGTAGCGGACTCTTTCACACTCGATTTCCCCCGCCACACATGTGCACTGTTCCACATTACGGAGGTGAATTCGTCCCCAAGTCTCTCCGGCTTCATAATAGTGCAGGTGTACCATTTCATAGCATTTCTCTGTGGACGCATGAAAGGCAATAGGTTGAAATGTGAGAGGGTATTGAAGAGCTCAATGGAGCGCGCAGAGCAACGTCTCATGGCTGAGCTGAGCAAGATGCATTCAAATTAGAAACATTTGTGTGTCTTTTTGGTGTTTATGTTTGATTGAGAGCCATTCAAAAAGGACTTTGAGTGAGTGATTTGCAAAATGACTCATAACAGACCTGTGTGAAATTAAAGGGGAAACTTCTTTAACAGAGATAAGAGAGGGAAGAAGTAAAGCCTGACATCTTTTCTAGGTCTTTGAAATAAGAGCTTGACAAACAAGATTTTAAATAAAAAGAAGAAATCATTTTAATATGACCAATCTGCAAATCATGTGACATAAAAAGCCATTGAAAGGCTTTTTTAATATTGTTTTGACACTTTCGCACTAACAATTCCCAAAGCTTTTCCGACAGGGAGCATAATGCCTTTTTCCAATGTGCGTTATTGAACTGAATTCAACCTACAAAACTTAATTTACTGATGAATACCATCAAGCTCTTGGAAAAAGCCAGTTCCTTAACCTGCTTTTCAGAGGTGAAGAATTCATTTTGGGGCTCATTTTTCAACATGACTAGGAATAAAGTTATCAGATTGAAATCATAACCCTCTGCATATGTTTCCTATAAACATAATCAGACAAATTGCAGAGTTTGTACATTTGAAAGTTATCAAAGAACCTTTATTTTCTTTTGCGGCAGTAAGTATGTAAGCTTCCTGATTTGCAAAATGATAAGAAAACACTGAATGAAGGCACAATTAAAAAGGGATGGCCATGAGAGTCTGATGTGTTGTGTTAAGATTGAATGGAGGATATATATAACAAAACAGTGGAAGTCATGTCATTCATAAAGAATAACTATCTCAGAGTGTACATACTGTGCTCACAGTGTGTGCCAGTGAAGCTCTCCGGACAGGAGCACTCAGCAGACTTATTAGTGTGTGGGATCCGTGTGCAGACCCCTCCATTCTGACAGAGGGTCACCTGACATGGGTCTGTGATTCTGCGCGACATGTGGACAGAAACTGAAACACATCAACATGGACGGACACAGTTAGAGGATAGCCATGACAGTATCATGATTGATTAACTGCACTGTGTTTAGTACACTTACCATCTGGATTCATTTTCTGTGGCGCACAGAAACCGTACTGCCGGTCCCGATCGAAATTATGAGTGAGGGAGCACCTGCAACAGAGGAGTAATATAATAGAGTCTCCAGCATGTCACCGAGATTAAAAAAAGGAGACATTTGCATCGAGATTAGGGTTTGGCAATATCCTAATGTTACCGTGAAAAATACATCAACTGTCTGAGATTGTTAGACGATGTTCCAGTGTGTCTCAGCCTTTGACAACTCAGTATGCATGCAGCATGAGTAAATTAGGGATGCACCGATTTTTGGGGCCGATACAGATCGCCGATCTGATCGAGTGGGCGGGGCCATTTTTTTTTCTGTTGTCCACATTCATAAAGCAGAAAGCAACAGCATCAGAGCACGGTGCAGAGTCTCTAGATGAGTCCCTTTTTTATTGTCTTTTTCGGACACCCTAAAATACTGCCAGACCGGTGAAGCCATTTTGGCGAGCTTATTTTGCTGCACACAGAGAAAAGTGTCATGTATTTTATGTCATGCGATCAGCATTTTTAGAGAGCACCGATCGATCGGCCGATATCG